CGTGGCTGAAAACTCATTCGGGTTCCCCGAAATTGATAGAATCCAGGCGGCTGGGATTCACGGCTGTCACTTTGCGAGTTCGTCAACCCGGGACTCCCGTTCTGCGAGTTGCATCAACCGAAACCGGATACATCCGCCGGTCCCCGTAGTGAAACCGCTTGCGGGGCTCGAACCCGCGGCTGCAAGATTAAAAGTCTTGCGCTCTACCGACTGAGCTAAAGCGGCCCCGAATTATTGTGTACCCGTGCATATTTGCCTTCTGGGCCTCTGCGATTTGGAGCGGACCTAGCGCCCGGGTGCATATTTTCGCTTTCCAATGATAGAACGCCCCGTTGCCATCGAGGCGAGCCGGATTCGATTCCAAATCCGCAATTTCGCGGATAGGAGGGAACCCGAATGGGAGAGAACCTGAACATGCCACCACGAACACAACAGTTGATGATTTCACTTCCGAACGACCAGACCGAAGATTATGCCCGAACGAGGCCAGAAGAATGAACTTGACGATAACGATTCTGATAACTCTTCCTCGGATGACGACGACCAGTTAGGCTCGGATGACTCCCTCAAGAGCGATGAGTCAAGTAGTTCAAGTCATTCAAGTAGAAGATCAAGTGTGGCAAGATCGCCACGTACATCCAGACCTTCAAGAACGTAAAGTCATGATGACCATCATGTTACTAGAAGGCTAATCAAGGAACTAAACATAAAAGAATCCTTCTATCCAAGACACGAGAAGGCATATGACGATCAGCTCGACCTTCTTGAACGTCTGACGAGGGCAAAAGGATTCGATGTCAATAGACTCTCCCAAGTGACCATGAGTGTTGCTGATGACAACGTATTGTATCGGATCAACAAGAAGAAGATCTATCGAGTCAAAGAATGGCAAGCGTTCAGAGATCAGCTAGCAAAAGAGTTATACCCGTATAGCAACGAGATTGATGTTGTGGCGCAAGACTTGAGTGAAGTTGAAGAACGTGAAGATGCAGAAGATTTAGTAGTATGGTTCGAGAAAACCGTACAACGGTACCATATGTTAAGAAGACGTTGGAAGCATCCCAATGCTTTCCATTCCCATCAGCTGAAACAAGCTCTGTTGAATAAACTCTGCCCTGCGTTACAGGCTGAGGCTATGAGATCTGATTGGCGCGAATGGGATTTGGATAGATTTATTCAATTCATCCTAAAGTGC